CATATGTGCAACGGTGGATCCCTGGGATGGCTGAGATCGCCAAACCTCTCCACACCTTACTTTCTGGCGATAGACAGAAACTGATCTGGAATGCGGAGGCCGAGAAAGCATTCCAGCAGCTAAAGCAACAGGTTGCCTCCCCACCGGTAATGCATTTGCCTGATTTCCGTCGTCGGTTTGTGCTTGTGACGGATGCATCGGCCGTCGGTATTGGGGCGAAGCTAGGACAGAGGAGCAAGGACGACGGGCTGCAGCCAGTGGCATTTCACCACCACACTCTGTCGGCGGCAGACAGGAACTATGGCACAACGGACCGTGAGCTTCTGGCTGTCGTGCTGGCGGTGAGGAGTTTTCGGATCTACCTGTCAAGCCGTGAATTTGAGTTGGTCACAGATCACACTGCACTCAAATGGCTTCGTTCCATGGAGATGGACGATGTTTACAGGCGAAGATCAAGATGGCTGGAGTTCTTGCAGCAGTTCAAGTTCACCATTGTGCACAGACCAGGCAAGTCACCAGCATTGAGCATGGCGGACTACCTGTCTCGCATCGAACATGGTGATTTGGCGGCGACTTTGCAAGTATTGGCAGTTTCTATTCAAGAAGAGAAAGGAGATGGGATGATTCACCTATCGCCTATGTTTTCAGGCCCAGAGGTTGTGGCTGGACAATGCACCTGTTCGTCAGTTGGCCCAGTCCGTGAGGCAATCATGACGGCTTAACCGCTATGCCTGGATACGAGCCAAGAGGCCAAGGATATATACAAGAGAAGGGACAGGCTGACAGTGGGCCAAGATGGAATCCTTCGCTACATTGAGTTCAAGGGCCGGTCTACGGAGGCACTGCCTCTGGGGCGGAAACAAATGAAGGTGGTAGTCATTCCCCAGAAGATGCGGCGGCCATGCTTGGCGGCGGTTCATGAATCACCCCTTAATGGACACATGGGACGTAACAGAACGTGGACACTGATCTGAGATGTGATGTGGTGGCCGACTATTGCCGAGGACGTAGGAAAGTACGTCAGAGGTTGTGAAATGTGCCAGCTGCACAAGCGGGTCAGGAGACCGGAGATTCCTCCTCCCCAACAGCCTAGCATTCCGGAGACCGTTGGTGAGCGGGTGCAGATAGACTTCATTGGTCCATTCCAAGAGTCTCAGATGGATACTGCTATGTGCTCGCAATGCAGGACGTTTTGTCACGCTATGCCGTCTTGGTGCCGATTAAAGATTGCTCAGCAACGACTGCAGCTCGGGTATTGTGCGACCGCTGGGTGTGCAGTGTCGATATCCCGAAGGTGGTGCAGAGTGACAGGGGACCTCACTTCACTGCGGCTGTGTTTGAGACTGTATGCCGCCAACTTGGGGTGCGGCAGGCACTCAGCAGTCCAGGGCATGCCAAATCGAATGCCCAGGTAGAACGGCAAAATCAGCTGATAGACCACGTGCGGTGTGTCTGTGGTCGTAAGCCAGTTGATTGGCCGAGGGCATTGGCGGCAGTACAGTATGCCCACAACACAGCTGCAAACGCCACCACAGGTGTATCACCATACTACCTCATGTATCAGCGGCAGCCCAATCGTCCTGAAGAACTCATGATACCGGCTGACCCAGATGAGGTACAGGATACTCGACGATCCCAAGTCCAGGAGATGGATACAGTCTTCAGATTGGTGAAGAAGCGGGTCAAGGAACGCCAGCAGAAGACTGCGAGCCGACGTCAACCAACGCCGGGTGCCCAGTTTTCAGTGGGCGATAGGGTTCGACTGAGACTGGTACCATCGCAACGGAGAGGGCTTGGCACGAAACTGGCACTGTACAAGTCAGAGCCCTACATGGTGATCAGGAGATCGAATAACACACACTGGGTGAAACCAGTGCGTGGCGGCAGAATTTTACAGCGGCACTTTGAGGAGCTTGAACGAGCGCCAGTCCAGCTGCTCGCTCATTAAGCTGGTAAGCTGACTCAAGAGTCGTCCAATGATGAGCACAGAGAGCTACCGACCGCTGAGCCAATAGTGAGGAGAAGTGGCAGGCTCCGCCGGAAGACGCGCCACCTGCAGGTTGATCCTTCTTGGGCATCATACAAATCGGAGGGGGAGAGTGATATGGTGTCAAGTGACAGTGACTGAGTTTGGTGTGAATGTAGGACTTGATTGGTGCTAGTGATAGATATAATAGTGTCGCCTTCATGCTGGCACTGCTGGTGTGTTACTGATCATTTATTAGCAGTTGTGTATGACTGCATGCACATGTATGCAACTGTGAGGTGGCAGCAGCACTATCAGCTACAGTTTGCATTGATGTTACTTGCGTTATAACTCTGGCATGCTTCACACCATTATCACTTGCACACTCTCACACCATCAATTGTAGTTATAAGCCGGTTTACTTTGGGTTCACTGCCTGTTCAGTTGATCACCTACTTCTGATGAAATTTACGTACTGCCGACGTATCAGTTCTGTCCCCAGACACTCAGCCAGGGTGCAGCCTAAGCTGGACACCCACCAGACAGCAAAGCTGGCCGACTCTTTCGTCCGCGCGCGCGTACGGTTACCCAGGCGGGAGAAAAAGAGTTTAAGGCTCTGTCACAGGTGTCGGCTGGCCAATACGTGGCGGGACGATGTCAGGGGATCGACCACCTCAGTTTGCCGGTCGCGGCGCAGGCACCAAGGAGTGTGGATTTTGTGGCGGCACACCTCATGCGCGGAGCTCCTGCCCTGCCAACGACAAAGAGTGCCGTCAATGCGGAAAACGTGGCCACTACGAGCGAGTGTGCCGGTCTCGCCGTAACCAGCAGTCCGTGTCTGCAACCGAGGTGTCCGACACTTACACAGATGACGGAGCGCTTCTCAACACAGAAGCTCTGTTCATGGGCGACGTCAAGTCCAGCCAACGGTCGTGGAGAGTCGGAGTGCGGCTACAGGGCACCTGAGTCGACTGCAAGATTGATACGGGAGCAGATGTCTCCGTTATCTCAGACGCCCTGTACCACCAGCTCCAGAATCCTCCAGTGCTCAAGCCGTGCACCAAACGGCTGATCAGCGCCGCCAACACACCGCTCCACACCGTTGGCCTGTTCACAGCGTCTGTGACGTACCCGCCATCAGGTGCCAGCGCCGTTATCACTGTGTGCGTCGTACAAGGGCTCCGTCACGCATTGCTTAGCTGCAGCGACTCACTTTTGCTGGGTCTTATCAAGCCCCTCTTCTCTAATGACGGCGTTCCTCCAGACGCAAAGCTGTCTTCCGATGTGCAAAACGACGGGCCAAACTCCATGCAGAGCGCGACAGTTATCCCTCCCGGCTCTGAACCTGTTCCAGTAGCACCCTGTGCAGCTGACCGGATACCGGAAGCCGTGCTCGCCGATTTTCCGCCCGTTTTTTTCTTCAAGGAGCCCTACTCGATTCCTCTCACCGACGGTGTCAAGCCGTTCTGCCTCTACACAGCCCGCAACGTGGCGCTGCCAATTCGCCCACAGGTAGAAGCTGAGCTGCAACGCATGGAGGACTTGGGCGTCATCCAGCGTGTCCTCCAGCCAACAGACTGGTGCTACAGGTGCGGTCCGCATATGCGGAGACCTGAAACCGCTCAACGATGCTGTACGTCGTTCGCATCACCAGCTCCCTACAGTCGACGAGACACTCGGTCAGATCGGCGATTCCACAGTCTTCACCAAGCTCGATGCTATCAGTGGATTCTGGCAAATACCACTCAACGAGGCGTCCCGGCTTCGGACTACCTTTACCACACCTCAGGGTCGATTTTGTTACACCAAGCTTCTATTCGGCGTATCGTTAGCACCGGAAATCTTTCAGCAGCGGATGTCCGCCATCCTACAGGGTTTGGAGGGTGTCGTTTGTCAAATGGACAACATTCTGGTACACGGCCGCACTCAGGAGGAAAAACACGATCACCGCTTACATGCCGTTCTCGCGCGCCTGGTCCTAGCGGGTGTCACGCTGAACCCCGCCAAATACCAATGCTCAGCCCGGATCTCACGTTTTTCGGGGTACACCTCACTCCCGACGGCATCAGACCTGATGACGGCAAGACTGAAGCTATCCGGGTCTTCAGAACCCCGTAGTTGGCCTCAGACGTGCGTCGTTTCCTTGGTCTCGCTAATCAGCATCTTGCCTCTATCAGCCAACCGCTCAGAGAGCTCCTGTCAAAAGGCAAAGCTTGACCTGGGACCACGCTCAACAGACGGCTTTTGAGGCCACCAAGGACTAGCTACCACACAAGAGAATGATGACGGACGCAAAACCTAAAAATTTGACCCAATAAAGCACCCTTTTCTCGTGTTCTGCACCATTTCATGTGTTCCAAGAATCATTTCTAATCTGTATAGTGACCAGAATGTGCACACATATTCTGTGATCTGTAATAGTTGTGTGGCAAGGTAAGAGGCCAGTGGCATCCGCCGCAGTTCGCCGCAGCCGCAGTTCGCCGCAGCCGCAGCCGCAGTTTGTGACAAGTTTTACTGTATACTGTATTCAGGGTTTATTAGTACAATATATGTAATTGAGACTGGAGTGGAGAAAGGCGTAGAAGGGGACAGAAGATTGCCAGTACATTTTTTAGTTAGGGATCGATCGTCCCCAATCCCTACAACTCATAGTAGGACATTGTATTGTCTTCCGACCGTATGTGCAAGCAAACACATTCCATAACATGATAAAACCGGCACATATACACACACATCCGTGCTAGCAAACATGCATGTATACCATATGCCCTGTACTGTTTGCACATTCCGAATCTTGCGTGAACTGTACATAGATTCATAAGCCTTGTATTGCTGCTTCATATGTTACTGTATTTTCTATTAACACATCGGTTGATCATGTTGTTGTTGAGTGCATGAATGATTGATGAGCTCCCATCCATTTGCTGAACAGACATTTGAAGTAGTTAACCAATGCACATGTTTGAAATGAATATCATTCAGATGCGGATCCTATACTATTCCATCAAGCACGGGATCTGCCCTTCTTTTACAGAATGGAAGAACACCTCTTCACTTTGCTTGCCGTAATGATTGTCGAATCGATATCGTGCGATTGTTGCTTGAGAAGGGTGCCAACATAGAAGTGAAAGATGAGGTAAGTGTTTGAATATTTACTACCGATGCATAATACATACTGTATAGCAGGAAATTTTCGGACGGAATTTATTTTCGTACGATTTCGTACACGGCCTCTTTGAACTAAAATTAATTCCGTACTAAAAGTGGTTCACGTGAAATTATGGACACTAAACATTGGGTACTGCTTGCAAACACGTGCATTTAGCATGCAGCGCTAGCGAGCTGTACGAAAATAGAATTCGTACGAAAGGTCGAAATTCGGCTTTGTTCGAAAATATTTCCGTCCGAATATTTCATGCTATACAGTACCTGCCTAGCAGAGATCGGGACAATGACATACCTAGATATGAAAATGTATACAAATGTAGCTCGATATTGGGACGGTCCCGGCCAAATCGGGATGGTTGGCAGATACAGTTGAACATCGATTATCCGACCACCTCTGGGCAGACAACTGTCAGGCGGTGTTCAGATAAGGCAAATGTTCTGGATAAGAAAAAACTGTCACTTACACACTTTCAGTGGTTATTACTAGCCGCACGACCTTTTTACTTTTTACTTTTCAAAATTTTCGTATTTTTTGAATGGCTCACTACATGCACAGTGCGTACTCTACGGCAAGTGCGCCCAAAAAAACTGTTACGGATAATCGAATGGTCGGATAGTCGATGTGCGGATAATCGATGTGAAACTGTATGCTAATATTCTTCTGAAGCAAGGTGAAGGAAGGTGTTTGGTGATAAACTACCTGAAGCTGGGACCCAAGAGGAGTAATGCATATGTACAAGGAAAGCACTGGTGTGTTTACTTGAGTATGTGTTTGTGTGTACAGTAATGGCCAGTGAAATTCACCTCCTGAATAGAGCAGTGCTTTAGTGCACATGATAGTGTGTGTGTGTGTGTGTGTGTGTGCGTGCGTGCGTGCGTGCGTGTGGTGCTAGGGCCGTGGAGTGCCCGGTGACATCAAATCCAAGAGGTGGAATGTCTCTGGCTAGAACCGTATATAGTATGTGTGTATATGTTTGCTATGAGGACGGAATCACACTGCATGGAAGCAAAACGAAACTAACTTGGTATTCTTTGTGTCCGCGGGATATAGCTCGTGCTCATCTTCGTTGCGCTTTCCTTCCCTTCTTTGTAGTTTTCCTAACATGAGCTTTCCAAGCTGGAAGGTTGTTGGTTTGTGCCTCGTAGCGGATGTGTTGGAGCTACAGATTGTTGTAGTAGTACAGTAGTCTGCACTGTGCACGTATCCCGTACGCACGTGCCCTCACTATGCACGTCCCAGACGTTCGCCGACATCAAAGCAGCTGTCCTGGCCCGTTTTCGTCTCGACGCAGAAGAGTACCGTCAGAGATTTCAATCCACTGCTGTGTCCCCCTCCTGCGGTAACTACACAGAGGTATGTGACCGTCTGTTCGATTTGTTCGACAGGTGGATGTCGCACTCCGTTTCGAGTGGCTCTCAGCCCACACTGCAGACGGTCGCGGATGAGATGGTCAGGGAGCAATTGGTCGCTGTTCTGATAATATGGTGTCAAGTGACAGTGACTGAGTTTGGTGTGAATGTAGGACTTGATTGGTGCTAGTGATAGATATAATAGTGTCGCCTTCATGCTGGCACTGTTGGCGTGTTACTGATCATTTATTAGCAGTTGTGTATGACTGCATGCACATGTATGCCACTGTGAGGTGGCAGCACTATCAGCTACAGTTTGCATTGATGTTACTTGCGTTATAACTCTGGCATGCTTCACACCATTATCACTTGCACACTCTCACACCATCAATTGTAGTTATAAGCCGGTTTACTTTGGGTTCACTGCCTGTTCAGTTCATCACCTACTTCTGATTAAATGTACGTACTGCCGACGTATCACTGGTGGCAGCGGGTTCGGACCAGTCTTAAGTGGTTGGACTAGGAGATGGCCGAGAAGCTGAAGGTGGTGTTCGGTGATGGTGGAACGTCATTGGAAAGCTGGCTAGTTTTTCAGTGTGCATATACCAATGCAAGGGAGCTGAATGAATTGCTGAAGGACACAAATGCGGAAGCTAAGCTGTGGTCGGACAACAAGGTTTTTCGCGCACGAAAAGTCCTGGCCCAGCTAAGGGGCGAACCATTGGTGTGGCTGTCTCAGGAGGAGAACAAAAAACTTTTGGAAGATGATAAGGAGATGCTGGAGGCACTCCACGGCAGATACGGCAGGACTAAAGCTCGCGCTGCGTACATAAGTGAGTTCGAGGAGAGTCGGCAGCAAGAGGGAGAATCCCTGGATCAGTATCTTTCTCGCCTACAACAACTAGTGGCAGTCGCGTTCCCAACCAATGACCTGGAAGCTCGACGAGAACGTGTCTTGTCTAGGTTTATGCGAACCATACAGTCGAGCCGCTTACGAGAGGAACTGCTGGTGTTCGGTCTTTTTGATGAGCAGGATCAGCAATGGTCATACCAGACAGTACTAAGAAAGGCCAATCATCTCCAGGGTCATTGGGAAGCAGCAGCAGCAAGCGGTGCAATGAGTGATTCAGTGATGGCAGCATCATCATCAACGTGGCCGGGGCAGAAGGATTTGGAGGACTTGAAGACGCAAGTGGCGGCCTTGACAGCGCAGTGGAGTCGTACCGAGACCGGACGTATGCCAACGCTGGGGAGTGGCCGAAACTGGCTTTGCCACTACTGCAAGACGTCAAACCACTGAGGCGGCTGACGCGCATGTAGCAAGCGGCAGAAGGAGAACCCAAGCTGGAGGCCAAAGCAGACGCAGCAGGGTTTACGGAGCCCTGCTGTAGCCCGAGAGAGTTGCAGCAGGGCAATGTCCTCCACAGAGGAAGTATTCACAGCAACCGCTTTGCGAAGGAGTCCCTTCGTACGGGTCAAACTTGAGAAGACTGAGGTTAGCATGCTGCTGGACACCGGTGCTGACATCAGTCTTATCAGCTCTACTGAAATAGAACAGAGCGAGGTTCAGGGCAATGGTCGACCGGTGGCTGCCCCTACACGCGGCGTCGATGGAACTGCAGTAAAGTTTGACGGGCTGGTGTACCGGACAGTCACAATTGGAGGAGTCACCCTGACACACCACCCATTTCACGTCGTGCGAGGCCTGATCGTGACCATCCTAGCAGGTGCTGATTTCTTGAGCAGACTGGGCCGCCAGACGTGGGACTGGGAGGCTGGTGAACTGTCCCTCGGTGAGCCACAATGCAAGGTTGCGCTAGAGAGGACCTACCGACCTAAAGCGTCTCTGGCTGGCTCAGCACTGGCAGTAGTGGCGCAGGACGTCGTCTTGCCACCTGGACGGGAGGTGTGGGTGGCTTGCGAGATGAAGAATGCCGAGCCATGGGCAGAGTACCTGGTGGAGCCTGTCAGCAGCGAGACAGACCGTCCAGTCCAGGCAATGTGTTGTCTCCTACAACTGGGAACAGAGACAACAACACAGCTAAGGATGATGAACCTCAGCAGGGAGGAGGAGGTACTGAGAAAGGGCACTAAGGTCGCTGCGTTGGACCTGAGGTTTGAAACTACCTTGCCAGGATCGAGGGATGCAACACAACATACCAAGCCGGAAGTACGGAAATCGCAGCGGCACGTATCAGGGTATGAAGTGGATCCGAAGGCTAGCCAACCACACAGAGATGATATTACCAGGAAGGTCAGTGAATTCAGCGATCTATTCTGGTTAGAGGGCGACAAGTTACCGACTATTCGTGACCAAGTGTGTCATGAGATTCGGCTAAAGCCTGGAGCGACACCTGCGTGGTCAAGACCAAGACGTTTGCATCCTGAAGAGCGTGAAGAGGTGCGTAAGGAATTTGACTATCTGGAGAAGCAGGGCCTGATTCGCCCATCGGTGTCACCATGGGCCGCACCAATAGTGGCGGCACGCAGGAAGAACGGGAAGATACGGCTGGCGATGGACTACCGTCGCCTAAACGAAGCTACCATCGGACAGCATCACCCACTACCCAGGATCGATGACCTGGTCGACAACTTGTCGGAAGCTAGATTCTTCTCATCTCTCGATCTCAAGTCTGGCTACCACCAGATGCCCATGCGGATGGAGGATTCCGAGAAGACTGCATTCGTAACACCAGACAGCCAGTATGAGTGGACTGGACAAGGGACGCCATTCGGTCTGTGTGGGGCACCATTGTCGTTTCAGCGTCTGATGTCGGCGGTACTCAGAAATGCTGAGTGGACAACGACCCTCTGTTACTTGGATGATATCCTCGTATGGGGGAGAACATGGCCAGAGCACACGGCGCGCTTTCATGAGGTACTGCAACGGCTACGCGACGCTGGCGCACTGCTGAATCCGGCAAAGTGCACGTTCGGCGTCAGGGAAATCGAGTTCCTCGGTCACACTCTGGCCGATGGAAAGATATTCATCAGCAAGGCCCGTGTGGAAGCCCTCCTGACTACACCTCTTCCAGACACTAAGAAAATGCTGCGGAAGGCTCTGGGCAGTTTCGCATATGTGCAACGGTGGATCCCTGGGATGGCTGAGATCGCCAAACCTCTCCACACCTTACTTTCTGGCGATACACAGAAACTGGTCTGGAATGCAGAAGCCGAGAAAGCATTCCAGCAGCTAAAGCAACAGGTTGCCTCCCCACCGGTCATGCATTTGCCTGATTTCCGTCGTCGGTTTGTGCTTGTGACGGATGCATCGGCCGTCGGTATTGGGGCGATGCTAGGACAGAGGAGCAAGGACGGCGGGCTGCAGCCAGTGGCATTTCACCACCACACTCTGTCGGCGGCAGAAAGGAACTATGGCACAACGGACCGTGAGCTTCTGGCTGTCGTGCTGGCGGTGAGGAGTTTTCGGATCTACCTGTCAAGCCGTGAATTTGAGTTGGTCACAGATCACACTGCACTCAAATGGCTTCGTTCCATGGAGATAGAAAATGTTTACAGGCGAAGATCAAGGTGGCTGGAGTTCTTGCAGCAGTTCAAGTTCACCATTGTCCACAGACCAGGCAAGTCACCAGCATTGAGCATGGCGGACCACCTGTCTCGCATCGGACATGGTGATTTGGCGGCGACGTTGCAAGTATTGGCAGTTTCTATTCAAGAAGAGAAAGGAGATGGGATGATTCAGCTATCGCCTATGTTTACAGGCCCAGAGGTTGTGGCTGGACAATGCACCTGTTCGGCAGTTGGCCCAGTCCGTGAGGCAATCATGACGGCTCAACCGCTATGCCTGGATGCGAGCCAAGAGGCCAAGGATATATACAAGAGAAGGGACAGGCTGACAGTGGGCCAAGATGGAAGCCTTCGCTACATTGAGTTCAAGGGCCGGTCTACGGAGGCACTGCCTCTGGGGCGGAAACAAATGAAGGTGGTAGTCATTCCCCAGCAGATGCGGCGGCCATGCTTGGCGGCGGTTCATGACTCACCCCTGAGTGGACACATGGGACGGAACAGAACGTGGACACGGATCCGAGATGTGATGTGGTGGGTGGCCGACTATTGCCGAGGACGTAGGAAAGTACGTCAGAGGTTGTGAAATGTGCCAGCTGCACAAGCGGGTCAGGAGACCGGAGATTCCTCCTCCCCAACAGCCTAGCATTCCGGAGACCGTTGGTGAGCGGGTGCAGATAGACTTCATTGGTCCATTCCAAGAGTCTCAGATGGATACTGCTATGTGCTCGCAATGCAGGACATTTTGTCACGCTATGCCATCTTGGTGGCGATTAAAGATTGCTCAGCAACGACTGCAGCTAGGGTATTGTGCGACCGCTGGTTGTGCAGTGTTGATATCCCGAAGGTGGTGCAGAGTGACAGGGGACCTCACTTCACTGCAGCTGTGTTTGAGACTGTATGCCGCCAACTATAGTTACTTGGGGTGCGGCAGGCACTCAGCAGTCCAGGGCATGCCAAATCGAATGCCCAGGTAGAACGGCAAAATCAGCTGATAGACCACGTGCGGTGTGTCTGTGGTCGTAAGCCAGTTGATTAGCCGAGGGCATTGGCGGCAGTACAGTATGCCCACAACACAGCTGCAAATGCCACCACAGGTGTATCACCATACTACCTCATGTATCAGCGGCAGCCCAATCGTCCTGAAGAATTCATGATGCCGGCTGACCCAGAGGAGGTACAGGATACTCGACGGTCCCAAGTCCAGGAGATGGATACAGTCTTCAGATTGGTGAAGAAGCGGGTCAAGGAACGCCAGCAGAAGACTGCGAGCCGACGTCAACCAACGCCGGGTGCCCAGTTTGCAGTGGGCGATAGGGTTCGACTGAGACAGGTACCATCGCAACGGAGAGGGCTTGGCACGAAACTGGCACCGTACAAGTCAGAGCCCTACATGGTGATCAGGAGATCGAATAACACACACTGGGTGAAACCAGTGCGTGGCGGCAGAATTTTACAGCGGCACTTTGAGGAGCTTGAACGAGCGCCAGTCCAACTGCTCGCCCATGAAGCTGGTAAGCTGACTCAAGAGTCGTCCAATGATGAGCACAGAGAGCTACCGACCGCTGAGCCAATAGTGAGGAGAAGTGGCAGGCTCCGCCGCAAGACGCGCCACCTGCAGGTTGATCCTTCTCGGTTATCATACGAATCGGAGGGGGAGAGTGATATGGTGTCAAGTGACAGTGACTGAGTTTGGTGTGAATGTAGGACTTGATTGGTGCTAGTGATAGATATAATAGTGTCGCCTTCATGCTGGCACTGTTGGCGTGTTGCTGATCATTTATTAGCAGTTGTGTATGACCGCGTGCACATGTATGCCACTGTGAGGTGGCAGCACTATCAGCTACAGTTTGCATTGATGTTACTTGCGTTATAACTCTGGCATGCTTCACACCATTATCACTTGCACACTCTCACACCATCAATTGTAGTTATAAGCCGGTTTACTTTGGGTTCACTGCCTGTTCAGTTCATCACCTACTTCTGATTAAATATACGTACTGCCGACGTATCAGTTCTGTCCCCAGACACCCAGCGACACGTCAGGGAGCAGCTTAAGCTGGACGCCCACCAGACAGCAAAGCTGGCCGACTCTTTCGTCCGCGCGCGTACAGTTACCCAGGCGGGAGAAAAAGAGTTTCTGGCTCTGTCACAGGTGTCGGCTGGCCAACACGTGGCGGGACGACGGTCAGGGGATCGACCACCTCAGTTTGCCGGTCGCGGCGAAGGCACCAAGGAGTGTGGATTCTGTGGCAGCACACCTCATGCGCGGAGCTCCTGCCCTGCCAAGGACAAAGAGGTGCCGTCAATGCGGAAAATGTGGCCACTACGAGCGAGTGCACCGGTCTCGCCATAACCAGCAGTCCGTGTCTGCAACCGAGGTGTCCGACACTTACACAGATGACAGAGCGCATCTCAACACAGAAGCTCTGTTCGTGGGCGACGTCAAGTCCAGCCAACGGTCGTGGAGAGTCGGAGTGCTGCTACAGGGCACCTGCGTAGACTTCAAGATTGATACGGGAGCAGATGTCTCCGTTATGTCAGACGCCCTGTACCACCAGCTCCAGAATCCTCCAGTGCTCAAGCCGTGCACCAAACGGCTGATCAGCACCGCCAACACACCGCTCCACACCGTTGGCCTGTTCACAGCGTCTGTGACGTACCCGCCATCAGGTGCCAGCGCCGTTATCACTGTGTGCGTCGTACAAGGGCTCCGTCACGCATTGCTTAGCTGCAGCGACTCACTTTCGCTGGGTCTTATCAATCCCCTCTTCTCTAATGACGGCGTTCCTCCAGACGTAAAGCTGTCTTCCGATGTGCCAAACGATGGGCCAAATGCCATGCAGAGCGCGGCAGTTATCCCTTCCGGCTCTGAACCTGTTCCAGTAGCACCCTCTGCAGCTGACCGGATTCCGGAAGCCGTGCTCGCCGACTTTCCGTCCCTGTTTTCCGGCTTAGGCAGCCTCAAGGAGCCCTACTCGATTCCTCTCACCGACGGTGTCAAACCGTTCTGCCCCTACACAGCCCGCAACGTGGCGCTGCCAATTCGCCCACAGGTAGAAGCTGAGCTGCAACGCATGGAGGACTTGGGCGTCATCCGGCGTGTCCTCGAGCCAACAGACTGGTGTGCCGCAATGGTCGCCGTACCGAAGGCTACAGGTGCGGTCCGCATATGCGAAGACCTGAAACCGCTCAACGATGCTGTACGTCGTTCGCATCACCAGCTCCCTACAGTCGACGAGACACTCGGTCAGATCGGCGATTCCACAGTCTTCACCAAGCTCGATGCTAACAGTGGATTCTGGCAAATTCCACTCGACGAGGCGTCCCGGCTTCTGACTACCTTTATCACACCTCAGGGTCGATTTTGTTACACCAAGCTTCCATTCGGCATATCGTCAGCACCGGAAATCTTTCAGCAGCGGATGTCCGCCATCCTACAGGGTTTGGAGGGTGTCGTTTGTCAAATGGACGACATTCTGGTACACGGCCGCACTCAGGAGGAACACGATCACCGCTTACGTGCCGTTCTCACGCGCCTGGTCCTAGCGGGTCTCACGCTGAACCCCGCTAAATACCAATTCTCAGCCCCGAATCTCACGTTTTTCGGGGTACACCTCACTCCCGACGGCGTCAGACCTGATGACGGCAAGACTGAAGCTATCCGGGTCTTCAGAACCCCGCAGTAAGCCTCAGACGTGCGTCGTTTCCTGGGTCTCGCTAATCAGCATCTTGCCTCTATCAGCCAACCGCTCAGAGAGCTCCTGTCAAAAGGCAAAGCTTGGACCTGGGACGACGCCCAACAGACGGCTTTTGAGGCCACCAAGGAGGAGCTTTGCAAGCCCACCTGTCTGCAGCTGTACGACCCCAACTACAGTACCAAACTATCCGCAGACGCATCTTCATATGGCCTCGGTGCTGTGCTCTACCAGCGGTCCTCGCCTGAGACAACTTGGCGGCCCGTAGCATGTGCCTCCCAATCTCTCACTCCAGCGGAGCGCAACTACGCTCAAATCTAAAAGAAAGCACTGGCAATCACCTGGGCCACGAGTCGCTTCGAGATGTACCTGCTTGGTATGCACACCTTCCTGATAGAGACCGATCACAAGCCCCTGGTACCTACACCATCATCCATGTGCCTGGCTCTCATCTGACCAGCACCGATGCGTTCTCCAGAGCTCCAACCGACAGCGAAGCTTCATGTGACGACCTCTCATTGGAAGCCGACTGCAGCCTGTTCGCCGCTTTTGCCGTGTCTAGTGTCTCAGCGGTCACTGGCCCCACACCCGTGTGCTGCAAGCACAGAAGGCCGACACAACATGCCAGGACATAACACGTCTTTGTGGTCCACTTCACAACAATAACACACACAGAAGTCTCTGCTGTGAGCACGGTGGCTCGGCAATGGCTTTATTATTGATATTATTATATCTCCTTCCTGATATTTTTTTTTCTTTTTTTTTTTTTTTTTTAATAATTGTACGCATCGGGCCTGATATCATAAGAAAAATTAGCACAAGACACTGCTGCTACTTAGTCGCACAGCAAAACACACAGAAAACGACAAAATGTTACAATGAATGTAACAACATCCGTCCAAGCTAAAGGACCGACATCCCTGCCCCAGGACGGCATCTCGAACCCCCCACACACTCACCACACGGTCATCATCCAGCTTCAGTTCAATCACTGTATTCTTCCCCTGCAGACTCAACCCCCCTGTCACTAGCCATACAATCTGAAGCTGTATGTAACCATACAATGGCCCACGACGCACACACCACCCCTACGTTTTTTTAACTAAAAAAGAAAAGCAGTCGTAACTGCAACAGCCACATGGCCAATAAGAAAAACCAATACGATAATATATCGATAAACACACACCCAGAAGTCAGGGGTGGGAGGGTGGGATACAAACTGCACCAACGAAAAGCCACTGCGAAGTGACAGGAATGCGGTCCAGCACAACATTTTTGCGGACGCAAAAAGTTGTGGGGAAATCCCAAAATCGGTGCGATTTTGCATGAGCCCAAATGTTCAGGTTACCCACAAAGACACAAGCTTTCCAACTCTCTTTGGCCGTTGGAAAGCGTACTGTCTCATCCGCGATGGCTGGCCCTCGAGCATGCAGGAACTCCCTGCACCTCTCCGCAGCTACTGGCCGGTCCGAGCCGATCTCGTAATCAACGACGAACTCATCATGATGCAATCCAGAGTCCTCATTCCCAGCTCCCTCGAGCAGGACACCCTCAACAATCTTCACACAGGACATCAGGGTGTGTCACGTACGACAAAGCTGGCACAGACCACGGTCTGGTTTCCGGGCATTTCCAATAGGATCAAGGCCCTGATCGAGGCTTGCCCCACAGTGAGTTCCGTCGACCACACGTCGAGCCACTGATCTCATCAACGACACCATACCGACCATGGCACACCGTCGGAATGGATCTTTTCCAGTATGACACTCACCAGTTCATCGTGGTCGTAGACTACTACTCTCTGTATCCCGATGTCCTACGGCTGACATCCACGACATCCGCCCGCGTTATCGAGCACCTCACCTCTGTCTTTGCTCGTCATGGAGTTCCCGCCATTATCCGTTTCGACAATTGCTGCTTCATATGTTACTATATTTTCTATAAACACATCGGTTGATCATGTTGTTGTTGAGTGCATGAATGAATGATGAGCTCCCATCCATTTGCTGAACAGACATTTGAAGTAGTTAACCAATGCACATGTTTGAAATAGAATATCATTCAGATGCGGATCCTATACTATTCCATCAAGCACGGCATCAGCCCTTCTTTTACAGAAAGGAAGAACACCTCTTCACATTGCTTGCCGTGATGATCATCGAATCGATTTCGTACGATTGTTGCTTGAGAAGGGTGCCAACATAGAAGCGAAAGATGAGGTAAGTGTTTGAATATTTACTACCGATGCATAATACATACTGTATAGCAGGAAATTTTCGGACGGAATTTATTTTCGTACGATTTCGCACACGGCCTCTTTGAACTAAAATTAATTCCGTACTAAAAGTGGTTCACGTGAAATTATGGACACTAAACATTGGGTACTGCTTGCAAACACGTGCATTTAGCATGCAGCGCTAGCGAGCTGTACGAAAATAGAATTCGTACGAAAGGTCGAAATTCGGCTTTGTTCGAAAATATTTCCGTCCGAATATTTCATGCTATACAGTACCTGCCTAGCAGAGATCGGGACAATGACATACCTAGATATGAAAATGTATACAAATGTAGCTCGATATTGGGGCGTTCCCGGCCAAATCGGGATGGTTGGCAGATATGCTAATATTCTTCTGAAGCAAGGTGAAGGAAGGTGTTTGGTGATAAACTACCTGAAGCTGGGACCCAAGAGGAGTAATGCATATGTACAAGGAAAGCACCGGTGTGTGTACTTGAGTATGTGTTTGTGTGTACAGTAATGGCCAGTGAAATTCAACCTCCTGAATAGAGCAGTGCTTTAGTGCACATGATAGTGTGTATGTGTGTGTGCGGGCGTGCGTGTGGTGCTAGGGCCGTGGAGTGCCCGGTGACATCAAATCCAAGAGGTGGAATGTCTCTGGTTAGATCCGTATATAGTATGTGTGTATATGTTTGCTATGAGGACGGAATCACACTGCATGGAAGCGAAACTAAACTAACTTGGTATTCTTTGTTGCCGTGGGACATAGCTCGTGCTCATCTTCGTTTCGCTTTCCTTCCCTTCTTTGTAGTTTTCCTTACATGAGCTTTCCAAGCTGGAAGGTTGTTGGTTTGTGCATCGTAGCGGATGTGTTGGAGCTACAGACTGTTGTATAATAATAATCTTTATTCAAGGATCTCCCAGAGGCGATGGCCTGTCGAGGGGATCTCCTGATGCAAATCATGCAATAGAAATAAACAGTGAGGAAAACTACACGTGTTACAGTATATGCTACATAAATTAGCAATAAACACAGGGCTGGGTTGTTAAAAATAAAACAATTAATTTAAATGTCCAGGGATATACCACTACAGTCAAATTTAAAACTTTTCACGTGCAAGCGATATTGCTGCTGAAATTTAGAAAGTGAATCTTGGGATGTTAGCCTTGGTGGAAGGCAGTTCCACAGCTTTCCGATCTTATGCAGAAAGAGAGAGGAAGAGATGCGGCCATGAGAATTGAAAATCAGTTTGTTTGGTCGGCGTGCGCTAGAAGAGATATTGATGTCAAAGCGGGATAGATAATCTGGGTGCCAATGGATATACTGTAAGTACTTGAACAAAACGGTGATGGAAATGTAAGTGCGTCGGAAGTGAAGGGATTCCAAATTACACAGCCTATTTAAATTATTCTTCGATTCATAGCGATCAAAATCAATCTTCGCAGACCGCAGCAGGCATCTGCAGATCTTTGCTTGTAAAATGTCAAGCGATTCTAGCTGGCTAGCAGTAAGTCTGAAGCACCAGACAGGGATAGCGTACTCTACTGTGGGTCGTACATATGACTTGTAGAGTAGGGCAATATGTGCATGCGATAGATGACGGCCCATAAAGCATAACAAATTTACACGTTGGCGAAACTTTTTGAACACAGTAGTGAAATGGTCTTGGAATTTAAGATTAGTGCTGATCTCAACGCCTAGATGGATTACGGTACTTTTAACATTGAGTGGTACGTTGTCCATTTGCACAGACGAAGAGGGTGGAGGAGCATAGTTGGAGAACATGGTGGTCTTGGCCGCAGAAAACTCTCCGTGAATGCCTCTAGCCCAGCGCTGGCAGCTTGTTAAATCCAACTGGAAATTGGCCAGATTCTCGCCGACAGGTAAACCGATGTTATGAGTGTTGAGCAGTGTAACATCATCAGCAAATAGATAAGGGGCGCTGTGGATCAATGTGTCGGGAAGGGTATTGATGTAGGTTAAAAACAGCAGGGGTGCAAGATGTGAGCCTTGAGGGACACCACAATTCAAAAGATATTGGGGAGAGATCGTCTCCTTAATCTTGACAGCTATCGTTCTCTGATTGAGGTAGCATTCAAACCATTTCACTGAGTTTCGAGTCATAAAAGTACTCAGCCTCTCAATCAGGGTTGGATGATGAACCTTATCGAAGGCTTTCCTGAAGTCAAGAAATGCACAATCATATCTGTTGTGTTTGTCCGAGACACGAGCGATCTGGTGAGTAAGCAGGATAAGTTGGTCCGTTGCTGATCGCTGTGGAACAAATGCAAATTGGGACGGTGATATTAATTTGTTCGCGATGCAGGAAGCTGCTGAGACTCAGCGCTATCCGGTATTCGAAAAGGCGACTGACGGGATGCAGCAGTGAAATAGGACGATAATTTGTTGGTGAAGAGGCACTTCCTTTGCCTTTATATAATGGGGTAACAGAGGCCGATTTCCAGGAATTGGGGAAGCACGAAGTAGACAAGCTTAAGTTAAACAGGAATGAGAGGGATTCACACAGTAAATCTGCCATTGAGCGTAGTATCGGTATCATGTGATTTGCTGAGGTGGATTTTCAGGGGGATAGGTGTGTTAGGTCGTAATGGACTTGACCAGGACTAAATTTAGAAATGCTGTACAAAGTGGTGCAAGCACTTAATGATGGCGCTTGAGAGGGTTGTCCATTCACTGCCGGTGGCACTGAACACTGGGCTGCAAAATGTTGAGCAAGAAGATCGCATTTTTCAT